CAGTAAGGGTTAACAGTAGGCTATTAGTAGTTAAGTTTTTATTTTTTTTTTTATTTTTTTATTTTTTTTTAAATTTTTATTTTATTCATGAGAGACAGAGAGAGAGAGAGAGGCAGAGGGAGAAGCAGGCTTCCCACTGAGCAGGGAGCCCGATGCGGGACTCGATCCCAGGACCCTGGGATCATGACCTGAGCCGAAGGCAGACGCTTAACCATCTGAGCCACCCAGGCACCCAGTAGTTAAGTTTTTAGAGAGTCAAGATTCATACAAAGATTTTTCCACTGCACAGAGGATTGGTGCCCCTAATCCCTACATTGTTCAAGGGTGAACTGTATATCTACATTTTTAATAAGGCACCATTTGGGCACACAAAGGTACGTAAATTTTATTACTATTTGGTATTCCTATTGAAAAGGAAAAATTTAAATGACTGAAAGCAGCTGTCTGTCTTAGCTTCAACAAGAATACAATTTTCTAGCTAAACAGAGATGGAAAAGAAGTTTGCTTTCAAAATTATCCTTCATGTGTATTTATACTGCAACACAGGGAGGGATGGGGGGCCTGGGGTCTGGTCCTGGTGCAGCACTCCCTAGGCGTGAGCCCTTGGCCAGGGCCCCTTAACCAGAGAATGGAATGAGATGATGTAACGAAAAGTGCTTTAAGGACACTGTGCCCAGGGGGAAATTGTCATGGACAAGGTGAGTTGAGTGCTTACTACACACCAGGGCACTTGACCTCATGGACCCTCAATGACCTAGGAGAGGTTCTATAGATGAGGGAGGCAAGTGACACTCAAAAGGTTAAGTCAATAATCCAAGGTCCCACAGGTAGCACAGGACAAAGATACTATTTTAAACCTAAGACTCCAGTGTCCATTTGGGCATTCCAACTCTCCATAAAGCCACGCACAGAGAGAAGGTTTTGTGAGTCTTGATATTTCGTGATGTGTTATTTGTACAAACTGTGTGTAACTTTACAGGGCATGTGACATTTTTCTCCCTACAAAAAGCATCTCTTTGGAAAGATGAAACATGTAATATCCAAACAAGGCAGCTCATATTTTTGAATTAAAAACCTATTTTCTCTTGCATATTAGAAGCAAACAAATCTTAGTTGGGCCACGGGCTTCTATATTAAAGTCTCTTTAAAATACATCTCTGAAGTTCTTAAATAATTTCTCGCAGTTTTATAAACATTCTCTAAAGCCCCCCCGAATACTAATTAGCAATAATAATTGTAAGTAATCTGTCAAGAATTTTAGAAAGTGTTGCTCCCACTGAAAAAGACTGATCTCTTTGCCAATGACAAATAATGTGTGTCTTCAATAAGCATGTCAGCAACGTTATTTTTACGGCATAGAAAATGCTAAAGTAGCACACATAAAAATAACGGCATGCTGATTAAGTGCAGTACATCTATATTTTTGGACTCAGTTGCTGGAAATCCAAGTGAGCAGTAAGAAAATTACTTGGGTAGACTGCAAATGAAAGCTCAGTCAACTAGAACAACATTTTGGCTACTCAATAGCAGTGCTCAGGATGTGAGCACTTGGATCACAGGGTTAGAATCTGTTAGGTCTGTCTCAAATCCAATAACAGCATCTGTGCTTGCCTACCACTCCCCTCCTTCATCTACTGTCATTGGTTAATTTGGTTCAAGTCAAGACTACGGAACAAGTTAGCATGCTTCTGAGAACTCATACATATTTTATTTTATTTTTAAAGATTTTATTTATTTATTTGAGAGAGAGAATGAGAGAGAGAGAGAGCATGAGACGGGGGAGGATCAGAGGGAGAAGCAGCCTCCCCGCTGAGCAGGGAGCCCGATGTGGGACTCGATCCCGGGACTCCAGGATCATGACCTGAGCCGAAGGCAGTCGCTTAACCAACTGAGCCACCCAGGCGCCCCTCATACGTATTTCAAATTATGGCCCTTTTGACACCCCTTCAGGGCTCCTGGATCCTCCAACACATGGAGGGGAACAGGAGCCCCAGTTGAGGACTGCTACAGAAGCGTGATGGACAATGCGGAAAAACAATGGGGATGCCATAAAGGGAACGGGCAGGGATGTGGGGCAGAAACAGAAAACAGAAGGCAAAGCTCTTCTTCTGCATCATGCAGAAATCAGGACCAGTCAAAAGAGGATTGATTACCCTAAGGGTTGGCTCAAGGAGAGAAATTTAAGTTACATTGCCACAGATCTTTTTGTACTATCCAAATGTTTTAATATCATTAAGTGGTTAAGTGGCTTATCACCATTTAGGCAAGTTTCGCATATTTGTTGCTAAATGCTGGTATGATTTGCTGAGCCACATCACATATCAAAACCAGGAAAATACCCCAACTATATATTATATTTTGCTTTTGACACACAGAAAAACAAAATGATAATATATGGTTTTTTTCCTAAGCGGTGGGTAATAAATCTAATGGTCTTAAACACACTTCCTGTTTCTTCATCTAGAGCCCTTAGAAATGACGTGTTTCTCCTGTGGAGAGATGGCACGTCAGTTCTAAGACGCTGGGTGTGGTCATGACACACGCAGGCATGCGGAGAGGTTGAAAGCTGGGAGCTAACTCTTGGAGATCCACCTTATTAGCCTTCCCAGGGTGCTAATAAATCTCCACTCTGCGGGGTGCTGCCTGAAGAAGCCTGCCTCCTTACCTTTGATATGGGGAATGAAGTGGTGTCGGAAGGGGGAGTTGGGGCGGGAGTCGCTGTGGGCGGAGCTGAGGCTGCTGGTGCGCAGGTGGGACAACCTTTGCACACCAGGAGACAGCAGCTCTGTGCGGCAAGGAGTCAGGGGCGGGGCCAGGTGGAAACAGAAAAGAAGAACAGAAATTAACAGCAGGGACAACATCATCATTCCAAGGGGCGGGGGGTGGGGAGGGGGGGAAACAAAGAACGTTAATCAGGCGTCTGAAAAAGGAAGAAGGCAAAAGGGTTAAGAACGCACCTGCTAAGGGTGAGGCTAAGTGGGGAGAATTTGCAAACAGTTCGGGTTGGTACAGAGTCGCTCTCTGAGAATAAATGGCTTTATGAGAAGGAATGGCCACCAGGACATTCTCTGTCAGGATGACCCCGGCTACTGTTGAGCCAGTACTAGGCACATCATTTAGACTCAGAAATAGCTGTTTTTAAAAAGCACCTGACAAAACAGAACCCTTGAAACACATGTTAAAAACAAACAAACAAAACGATAATCATTTTAAGAACCTTGAAAAGAAGTACTTATATGTAAGGGTCAGATTCTTTTTTTTTTAAGCTGCCAACTTCTCCCACTAGCGGTTTAATTTTATTTGCCTCTGTAGAAGGAAAACCTGTTTGTGTTCCCTGGGTGGCGAAGAGCTACTTAGGATCCTGAGAACTGCGTGATGGCAGCACGGGGGGGACTGGAAGCTTCGTTATCTTGGAAGGAAAACGGACCATTGAAACTAAACCCAGACACGGGGAACGTGTACCATCACCTGGCATCTAGAACCCGCCGAGTGGATAATCAGAGGTTTTCTATACTGACCACAGCCCTGCTGTCAGAACCCCACCGGCTTCACCTGACAAGGGTAGATCTTGAAAAAATAATTATAAACCCTAATAATTGGTATCATGCATGCCCATAATATATTGTGAAAAGGAGGAGAAGCACTTAGAACGGGGGATGTTCTAAAGGCTGCTGGCTTTGGAACCACGACTGGAACAGATGAAAACTTTCAGTGGTCAACAGCGACATGATCTTTCAGGGAAATAATGTCCCTGGCTGGCCACCCCTTCACTATTCAGGGGCCCATGGAACAACAATTTCCCTATAGCCCCACGTCATTCTGATAAGGTCATGGCCGTGGCCTCTGTGACCTCAGCACACGCCCATATGGAGGGGTGGCCACGAACAGGATTTCTTGTCTCCCACACAGACAAGGGCTTAAGTCCAGACCCAGGTCCAGAGCATGAATTAAATGAATATAGTTGCACATGGGAAAAAAAAGAATCCATTTCTTGAAAAACCCTCATTTTACTTAACTCAACAAATACTATTTATGACCTAGAGAAAACTCTACATTATTGAAGACTCATATAGTAAAAAATCAATCTTCTATATGCATTAAATCTATGGCTTTAAGGAAAAGATTGCAGCCTTTTTATATTCTGTTCATTTCCTCTGGTTCTTTTTTATCAAATAAGTTAGCATATGAATGAGTTTGTTCTCATCCACCGGTGCAGAAGCAAGAAGCTTAAAAGGAAGTCTTCCTAGACGTTCACTGCCACCAATGTTGTTTAGAAGGCCAGAGTCTCCCTCTGGGAATCTACTTCTCAGGGAACCCTGGATCCATGCTGGGATCTCCATTCTTCTATTCCACACGAGACACCCACTAATAGTGATGCGGACTACGCTGTGCACAGATGAAGGTGACCTGAAGTCCACTACTGTTCGATATTGCCTATAATACGTCTCTAATGTTTTTCTGTTTTCCAAGTCTGGTTCGAAATCTAAGGGCTGGAATGGGTCTGAAAAGTTATCAAATACAACCCCCAGGTTGCATATAATACTTCCTTCTAGAAGGTGCTTAACCAAGCATGTTTAGTAACACCCTGTGCCTGGTTTGGAGAAACATGGCAAACCCACCGATGAATGACTAACGCTGTGGATTTTAGATGATGCTAATGTGCCTAAAAGGCACATCAAAGTATTTTCTTTGGAGATCTTCATTTTAAGTCTCAAAGTGATGAGATTTTCTTCAAGTCTAAAAAAAGAAAAAACAATCCCCCTGGCTTCCCGCTGTTCACTGTCAAGATGTAATTATTTAATAAACCATAATGAATATAATCATAAAATAACACAAATTATAGTTGGATATGAGTTTTCTTTTTTTTCTTTTCTGGGAAAAGGGGAGATCTATTTGGCAGCTGGATTTTTAATACACTATCAGTGGTGGGGAAAAAAAAAAAAATCACCCGGCAACACAGACTATTATATAGAGTGAATCTCGGGAACAGGCACCCTTACCAGGTCTGTGAAAATGCTGGGGAGAGCGAGATGTGGTTGGAGCATAGCTGTGGCGGCTATAGACCGGGGAGCTGATGGAGCCCTGGCTGGTGGATCGATGGATCACCCGGTCCCGAGAGTCCTGGTAGCCCTGGAAAGAAAGTGCGAGAACGTGGGAGCATAAGACACACATTCAGGCTATCATCGGGTCCAAGTGACATCCAGTTCTACAAAGGTTGCCCGGGAACTGTCATGTTGACCTGTTCATGTATACATTCTAGGGCCATATCCTTCAATACATACGCAAAGGAGCATTCTGTGGTTAATGCATTTTGCTCAAAACCCATAGTTCTTGCATTTACCCAAATTTTAAGATGGAAAATGGTAAACTCCCGGGTTGATAGAGCTCTGGGAAAAAGAGAATACCCCAATGGCCACATTGATATGGTGCTTTTCAGTTTTACAAAGTATGTTCGTCGTTTCATCCGATTTGCATAATAACAAAGGTAGAACACAGGGTATAGACCTCCCTTCTCCACAAATGCAGGATGTTTCAGAGCAGGTAAGAGACCATGTGTAGGTGTGTAGCTCATACAGGCAGAGCCTGCTTCAGAACCAGCCTCCTCGTTCTAATCGTACCCTTTGTTCTGGCTGCCAACCTACACTGTCCGTAACACTGATCTGGTGACATCTTAAGTTGATTTTCCTGCAGAACAAGCTGGTGGTGGCCTCAAACCCAGGAAATTCTACTTCCTACTTTGAGAAACATATCCCAAGGAAAAAATAAAGAGTGATCTCTAAATGGGAAAATTTGCTCAAAGATATTTATAATACCACCATTTATAAAGATAAAACTTCCTGAACAAATTGGGGAATAATGAAGAAAATCAGGTGTATCCATTCAGTGAAATATAATACCACCACTAGTATGCCCACTGTGTCCAAATCCAGAAAAGAGCTGGTTAGGTATGAAGTACAAAAAAAATCATACTCACACAAACACAATATAGAACTGTTCAAACAATGAAAAGGATAGAAAGGAATGTTCTACATTTTAGGAATTAGTTGTCTTACAAAGTTTCTTCTGCTATAATAGAAATACAAGTTTGAAAGACTGTATGGAAAATGCCTAAATTAAAACCTCAGTAACCATGGCTGTGTGCCATTTGTTGAGAGCAAATGGCAAGGAAACTTTGGTTTGATCCCAGTTGCCTAGAACAATAAATTAAAAACAATAAAACAAAAAGTCCCCGAACAATGTGCTTCAACTTTGCAAATGGCCAATAATAGAAGTTAATGCTTCATAACTTCTGTTGTGATTAGAATACTAACAGAAATTAATTTTTCACAGCCCTCAGTCATAAACCATCAGAATACTACAGTTTTTACTATGTTACATCATAACGGTTATCTAAGATCAATCATTTTAGGTAGAGTATCCAGAAAGTTGCTTGAAGACTTACTGATTTTATTCATTTTAACTTTTTTAAGATTTTATTTTTATTTGTTTATTAGAGAGAGAGGGAGAGGGAGAGAGAATCTGGAGCAGACTCTACGCTGAACACAGAGCCCGAAGCAGGGCTCGATCTCACAACTGTGAGATCATTACCTGACCCAAAATCAGGAGTCCGATGCTTAACTGACTGAGCCGCCCAGGCGCCCCTTATTTATTATTTTTATTATTATTTTTTAGATGGGGATAGACCAAACACCTGAGGAGTTCGTTCACTGGATACATAAGGAAATGCAAAAAAGTAAGAAGCATGCTAAACATACAATCCCTTGGTTATAGTTATCTGAAGTAGCTTAAATGAAAGAAAGTGCTGGGTCAGACCTCGGTGCTGGACCACAGTCAGATTTGGGTCAGCCAGAGCTCAGGTCACTAACCCCTAAGCCACACACCTCCACACACCCCCACTCCCCCTCTGCCAAGGGAAAAACTAAGGACAATGGGAAGTACTTCTAAGGGCCCTGGTCACCCAGTAGGCAGTCGGGTGTAGGGGTGGGGGCAAAACCAAGGAACTACAGACAACAGGAGGGAGAGTGTGAAGGAGCTTTTGATTTTCTAGATCAGTATCAGCTTCGGGAAGAACCCTTACTAAAATGGGTTGTGAGAACAACTAATCTGGGGGCTGTGTCTTTGGTTTTGAATGCTGCAGAGTGGAAGAGTATGTACGGATTGATAGGGGACCCGTGGCTCACTACGGAGTGATCACCGATGGCTCTAAGTGATCCACATAGGAGTCCTTCTCGAGGAAACCGTGGGCCTGGTGGACTGGATAAAAGCCATCGTGAGACTTCTTTATCCTGAAGAAGGGCGACAAGACTAATGATCTGAGACTACAAGGAGTGTCCTCCCCTGAAGATGGCTCTGCTTACAGAATACTCTCTGACCACTGTAGGCCACTTCAGATAATCCAGGACGCTGGGATTCAGACCAATCCAATATGAATGAGGGGAGAGAGCGCCCCCCGGGCAGGACAGGTGGCCTCACTCCCTGCACACCCTTACCAGGCACTTAGAGGCACAGGCTCAGATTACTATATGGCTGTTTTTACCCCCAGTCTCATTTGAAAAAACATTGACTACTGTGTCTTAGAGTCACCTCACACGTAAGGAATCCTACAGTCATCATAATTTTGCATGCAGTTTTTTGTTGTTGTTGTTGTTGTTGTTTTTGTTTTATTAAATGTCCTTCTTTAAAAACTCCAGTCTAGGAAAAGTCCAAGTCACTCCCAAATCCCACCCATTATAATGTTCAACAATGGCACTTACTTCTGCTGATGGAGTGGGAGACAAAGTCCTTGGAGACTAGAAGAATAAGAGAAATACAAGTCACAGTGGATACTGATTTGTTATCAGTTTAATTAGTTTATCAGAAGCCCCTGGAAATAGTATGCCGCATCCACATGCCCGCTCCCCTTGCCCATCCCCGTCTTCTGATTCGGTAAGTTGGAAGTGGGGCTCAGACAGAAACATGACAACCAAGCTCCTGGGAGCCTGGCGCATGTCCTGGCCTAGGAACCGTGGGTTTTGAGAAATACATTGTCACACTTTAGATGCTTAAGTTAGACAAACTGGAACTATTTTTCCCTCTATGCTCAAACTATGCTCAGTTTACTACTATGAGTCACAGTGTCTACCGAAACACAGAATTTTGTAAACATGGTTGTTGACTCAATTATCAGGGCAGTCACATAAAATCATTTGCTGCCTGACACAGGCCGGTGATGACCAGGTCTGTGGCATCCTGCCCTGCCGGGTGGGCTTGCCAACATCACTACATTCACCTTCTGGCTTCCATCCTTCAGGGCACAAAGGCTTCCTTGGGGTCAATGAACAGATCAAACCCTCTTTCACCACAGGGCCTTTGCATTTGCTGTGTCCTCTGGAAGCACTGCCTTTCACTCAGACACCTGCTGGGCTTACTCCTCTTCTTCGGTGAGGTCTCCACTCACACATGGTACACACAATGCCTTCTGTGACCCTCCTAATTGAAGGAGCAACCCAGCCCCACAGGCTTTCTCCTTACTCTGCTTCGTTTTTCCGCTAGCACTATGCCCTGTAAAAGTGCATTATGTATCTGCTTATGGTCTGTCTCCCACTTTCCACTGCAAGCTCCATGAGGGCAAGAAATCTGCTTCTTTACAGCTAAGTATTCCCAGTGACTAGAGCAGCTCCTGACACATGAGGTGCCCAACAAATATTTCCTAAATGAATGAATGAAATGTTTACAATTAAAATGCAAAAAGAGCTCAAATAGAAATGAAATGCAAACAAAGCATCCTGAAGAACATGGTGGATTTCTCAGCATCCCAGTTTGCCCCTCACCCCAAGGTCACAAGAAGCCACCGGGCTCTCTCGCACTGCAGATTCCTCAAGCCCCCCAGTCTCAGGGCAGCTGCGGCCTGTCTCAGGGGGTGGGGGTGGGGGTTCTTAGCTGGGTGAAGACAGGCTCCTTGAAGGCAGGAGCCAGGCCTCACCCTGCTGACAGCCTCCGGATCCACCCTACTCATGCTTTCTGAAGGCACACATGGCGACACAGAACGTTAAGTTTATTCCTCTGGTGTTTCTCAATTGGCAATCTAGGGATTCTTTGGAAAAATAATAAGTAAAGGGATAAATAATCAAACGGTGCATCAAGTTTTCTAAGTTGCAAGATTCATGTGTTGGGGAAGAGATGGCGAATATGTCTGATTTCTGATCTGGGGGCATCCTTCCATCAGATTCCGTGATCCAAGAAACCCACAGGTAATCATTCCAGGTTATGATGGTGATGATGCTGACTACGAAGAGTGGCCGGCAGTTTTGTTGAGCGTTTATGTGCCAGGGACTGTTCTAATCTAAATATTTCACTTATTCCTCACAGAAAACCTCTGAGGTGGATATCACTATCTTGAGTTTACAGATAAGGAGACATACTTTCCCCAGAGTTGTATGGTTAGTAAATGTAAGTCTGACTCCCAAACCCTGAAATGTTCAAAGCCTAAACTCTTGAGCGCTTGATGCTTTACTGCTCAAAACGGAGCCACTGGGAAACAGACACCTACCCCCAAACCCAAAACACCATAAAACAACTCACCTCCCCCTTGCTCGTATGACTTAAACATTAGCAAATTCTCACCGCCTTGTTCCAGGCCCAGGCGCTGTTCACCCTGTTCGGGAACTGTCCTTTTTCCTGTATTCTCTATGCAACGCTCCAGGCAGGGCCGGGCGGCAACTCCACAACCCAGGCCAACCAACCCGCCTTTGAGCGGCTGCAGATGCACTTACAGGCATATGACCACTAGGGGGCACTACATGAAAATAGATATCACTTCCTGTCCAATGGGCCGTTTCAAGGCGGAACTTAGGCTCTGGCATAAAACCCAAATTGGAAAAATGAGTAAATAAAAAGAACAACATATATTACGATTATGAATACATATAAGTATGATTATAAAACATACCAAATGTACATGTATTATTGAGAACAAATTGAACAGGATCACCCTGTTTTCACGGCTTTTCTTCCTCTAAGGTCTCAAAGCCCTTGTGTGGATGTGTTAGGTAGTGTACAGTCTGTTTTAACCTTGGATTGAACAGCTAATCGCAGTCCAGTACTTGGGTAACATCTCTTCGACTGGACTCAAATCAGTCTGTAGGGGACTAATTTTTAAAAATAAAAGGGGAAAAGTTTAGAGTGAGTTGAACAGGCCAGAGGAAAGAGACCAGAGCCCACGCAACCCAGGTAGGGAACCCCCAAAGCTGGAAAGGGATGGGGAGGACCCCGAGGGGCTGAGAGGCTATGCTCCAGCCTCCAGACCATTAATGCTGGGAGAGCATTAACCAGCCCCAGGAGCCCAAGGAGCCCAAGAGCACAGCGAGTGACCACAAGAGCGGCCGTCACTTGCCGAACATTTACCACGAGTCTGACTCTCTAACTGCTTTAGATTAGCTTACACAGCTTTGTTTTAATAGACAACAAATGATCTAGATACTCTACAGATATTAACCTTTAACAGATCGTTTATTTAGTCCTAACATCCTGTGAGGTAGATTCGGTCATCCTGTGATACAGATGAAGAACACAGGGTCAGAACAGTTGCCGCACGGCCAGAGTCATACCAGCAGCACGTGCAGTCCCCAGGTTGAGCCCAGGTAATTCGATCCCAGAACCCTAGCTCACATCACTGTGCCACACCGTGGTCTCGATCTCTCTGCTGATTCTGTCCTTGCACGTTCTATCGTAAGATGCTGCACACAGCAGCTGTCCTAAATGAGGGCCTATGTTCTCTTCCTCATGATCCCCATGACTGTACCTCAGTAGGTCCCTCACTCCCTCTGCCCAGCTCACAGAATCTCCCCTGACAACTCTGACTTCCTTCCCAGTATATCCACTCTGCTATCCCACCACCTGGTACCAGCGCTCCTTCATGCTTCCCGCTTGTCTCCTCTGGCTGCTCTTTTCTCCCACCCCTCTGCAACCTCCTGAGGCCAGGCATGCTGTGATAGGTTTCTGATACCTCAAAGCACCTGGTACGGAAGGCTGCAAATAGAAGGGAATCAAAAGGACCCTCTGACTTATTTTGATCCCAATCAGGCATGCTTATACACGTGACGAAAGAGAAGTTGTTGTACAATGCACAGCTTCTAGAATGTATTACCTCTCCCAGGCTCTGCCTCTCCTGTTTGTCATCATAGCCCGAAGTGTAAAAAGGCTCATAGGTAATAAGATCTGGACGTTCAATATCATAAATCGCCTTGACCTTGGGAATGGCTGCTAAATCCTTATAATCCAGGATTTCATTGTCCACTTTTGCCTGGCAAGGTTAAACAGAAAGCAAAATCACTCATTAGTCTCATCTCTTTGGGGAACTATTTTTAGTCATTTCATGTTCTGCTTGAAAGGTGAAGACCTTAAAAAGAGACAAAAACCAAAACATTTTGCTCAGTTTTAAAACCAAAAGCATTTTGCTTTAGGAAGTTGCCTATTTATACCATATATTAATCAAGTTATTTATTTAAAAAAAGTCATCAAAAACTTAGGAAAAAGTCTGTGTAGAACAAACCAAGTAGAAAAACCTGTAAACCTTCGGGATAATTTTCCTACATTTATTACAGAGATGGAGAAGCTCAAACAGATGGTCAAAAAGAATCCTCCCAGATGGCCAAAAACAAGAACTGCATATTTGATAAACTAACTATTTAAATATCTCTGTGGCAGAATTTAAGAATACTCAGTATCAGCATTATGAAATGTATAATTAATCCCCAAGTATCTATATCCAAGTTAGCCACAGCAATTTTTAAAGTCCTTCGTGGTATTACTGCATTTTATAGGTCATTGGCATCGACGGTCACATTTGTATATAAATGTAATTACCCGAAGGAAAACATGATTGAGAAGGCTGATCTTCAACAATGAAAACTGGATCTCATAACAGAAATAGAAATCATTTCGAATTAGTCTATTTAGGATTACCCACCCCACTATGACAGTCTGCTACTTTACCTGTCCCGGAAGGGTCTTTTCTGGAAATAAATACTTACATAGATAGTATGACCTGGGGAACCAGGGATACTGGAGCCTGGTCTGGAATAAATGCTTTCAGAGGAAGTCCTGGTAGGCTGTAAAATAAACAGTGCCTTGTAAGATTTCAGACCATGGCTTCAGAATCAAGACTGGCCTGAGTCCCTAGCATTTACTAAAAACTAAGCTGGTTAGAAAAAGGTTTGTGACTTTTCTGAGTAAGGGAAAACATAACCTAGACAGAGAGGTAAGGGAGAACCCGCTGCGCAATCAGCCTTGAAAATGCATTTGGGGACTTTTCACCTTCTCCTCCTCGCCCCCTCCGAGACCTTCTCAGAGCTCTGCCTTCAGGCACATTTCCCTCCACCTCTGATGCCACAGTCCCAGCCCCAGTCTCCAGCTCCGCTCATCTGGACTATTGCAATGACCTTGCCTGAGGGCTTCCTACTTCCATTCTTGCCCTCTTGAAATCCACGTGGTACCCAGTGACCAGAGAGATTTTTTTTTTTTTTAAAGATTTTATTTATTTATTTGAGAGAGAGAGTGAGAGAGCATGAGTGGGGGAGGAGCAGAGGGAGAGGGAGAAGCAGAGTCTGCACTGAGCGCAGAGCCCGACGCGGGGCTGTCCCAGGACCCTGAGATCATGACCTGAACCAAAATCAAGAGTCAGACCCCTACCCAACTGAGCCACCCAGGTGCCCCCAGAGAGATCTTTTTTTTTTATTTTCACAGAATATTTTTTATTACTCTACTCCTTGTACTATGTATGAAAACAGTAAATTTTTAAGTCCAAGAGAAAATTCAGAGAGCCAGAATTCACTGACTGAAACATCCACCAAATTTCTTAATTTAAAATTAAAAGGTAATTTAACCATAGGCAGCATCAGGTAGACTAAACTCCCATACCGGACCCCTACAAAACTAGGTTTTTGTCTGTTAGAGAAGACTCTTCTTGCCAGAACTGGTTCCCCTGCTCAGTAGGCTCCAGAGCGGGTCACCATATTGCTCGCTGGACCCCTGACAGCTGTCTGTGGTCTGCTAAGTGGCGGAAGGCAATACGACTAAGCCTCCAGCGCCGCTTTACACCACATGGACGGGACGTCATAACACACCGATGTCGGATTCGAACAGGGAAGCTATCCTGGGGATGGGCAGCAATTTCTCCATCGGCCACTTCCCGAAGATCTTTTGGCAAAATGGTATTCTTCCTGAGTGAACTGATCCGTAGCCTCTCATCTGCATATTCATAGGCCATTTTTCGTCTCTTCACATCACGCAACATTTTCCAGTCTAGGTAATAACCTCGAACTTGGCCTGAAGGTGATGAAGGAACCATCTGCCGGACGGTCTGTAGCAGAAAGCCCAGCGTGGAGGTCGCCATGTTGTCCCCCCAGAGAGGTCTTTTAAGAACAGAATTTGGTCACTACTCTGCTTTTGGCTTCAGCGACCACTTAATGTCACAAGTCCCAGTGCCTCAGGGTTTTGATGCGGCTCTCTCCCACCCCCTCACTTCCCACCATCACCTCATGGAACATGGCGCACGTCGCGGCTTCAGGGTCCTTCTCCTGTTTCCTCTGCCTGAAATGCTCCAGTCCTCAGTTTTACTTGATTTTCTTTTTGTCTTCCTCCAGTTTTGGCTTTAAATATCACCTCCTCAAAGAAGCCCTCCCTTATCTTTCAATCCAGAATGGTTACCCTTATTTTCCGTCCAAGTCATTCTTAGTTTTCCTTCATGAATAAAATTTATAATTCCAAGTGTACTTTTTTTTTTTTTTTTTTTTTTTTACATCTTATCCCCTCATTAACTTCAGTTACCATCTCTGCCCTCACCGGATTTATTTTTCTGCCACTGTGTATGCCCGCTGTTTTGCAGAGGTACGTAGAAGGCACAAATATTTGTTCAGGGAATGAGCTAGGATTTATTATTTGTAAACACTCAGTTTGTGGATACCTGGCTCGTGTTAATTACGAGGCGTGAGCCTAACCACACAGAGAGTCACTGAAGTAAGGTCAGCAGTCAGCCGCTGGGAAAGATAAAAGAAACTGGACTTTATAATATATGCTGAGAGGAGCCTGAGAGTGAGTAGTGGTGAGAGCAGTGGGAGGGCTAACTGCCTCCCACTCTGCCTGGCACATTCGGAAAGCTCTGCCAAGAAAACCAAAGGCCTAGTCTTGAAAGACTGCTCCCCTCTGTACAGATATTTCTTGGAGAGGAAAATGTGTAGTTCTAGGTTAGGAATTGGATCTTTCCTCTTCAGTACTTTTTCCTACTGATATTTGGCATCTTGATTGTGACTATAACAGAGCCAAAGAACCTCCTAAAAATCAGGATGTTGCACCACTATGTATTCTCATGTGAAAATAACTGAGAGCGAACCCACCAATTCAAGTCAGACAGTGATTAGACTCACTCTAACAGGGAATTCACTGGAGGGCTGTGATGTATGGTTCTTGTGTCTTTGAGATACCAGGGGGGAGGGGGCTGGAGAACTCACACTGCGCACAGTGGACGGGTGGCAAGCTTGTCGCTTCTGGTCCCCCTCCCCAACACCTGCCACACACAAGTACTTTCTTCCTAGACTTAAATTTTCCAATCGCATGCGTATCTCAGTGTGAGAAAATTCTAAATTCTGAGTCTACTGGGAAAGGAAGGATTCACATAATAATGCTACTCAAAAAGTCCAACTCCTTGATTTGTGTCCCAGTCAGAATAGAGAAGTGACACAACCAAAGTGTGGTCCTCCTTTAAAAAGAGATGCCACCCGCTAATAAAATGGAGCCAGTATGCCTCTCTGTGGGGTAACGATTAACTACAGGTAGTCCTTCCGCCTCAAGTGGCCAGGAGCGAATATGTGCCAACCCAGTATCAAAATGCAACCTGGTGGATGTGAGGGCGATCTGGCTGCGACATCTGTCACCCCATTGATCGCCAGGGTTGATTCGGCTGATCTGGCTGGCTAGGCGGGTGTCCCCTTCCTCCCTCACCGCTCCATGTGCGTCCCTCCCGAAGCTGCGCGCTCGGTCGAAGAGGACGACCTTCCCCGATAGAGGAGAGGACCGTTCTTCGGTCAAGGGTATACGAGTAGCTGCGCTCCCCTGCTGGAGCCTCCGAACAAGCTCTCAAAATGCAACCTGGTAAGGAACAACACAAGAATATGAGTGACAGCTAACACTGGTCATCTGCCTACTATGTAGCCCGAGCTCTTAGCCCCTGCACTAGAATCTCCTCCATACTGTAAGCTACACATGACCATTCCTCTCTCATCAACATAGCTATGGGACAGATGAGGTGAAAACAGAAGAAAAAATTTAAGATCAACTAGCAGGAGAGAATGTTCTTAGCTCCACGAGAAGCCTGCAGTGGCTCCGTGTTGGGGTGGGGAGAGGGACGAATGCAAGATACACGTCTTCAGGTACTGTGTTGCTAGGACAAAGCCCTGCTCTCATTAACAAGCAGCTAGGACATTGTGTGAAGAGCCAGAGAACACACTGAGCCTTGGGGTCTCTCCCACGTCACTCATCCTATTTTCACCAGATACGGGTCAGAGATACTTTCTGCCTTCCCTGTCACGATGCACCTGGGGATGGCTCTGAAGTATTTTGTTCCCTTGTGTGCTGCACATGCAGATCGGAATGTAGCTGCAGAGCCACGTGAACACAAGCCCAGGATGGGGTCTGTAACGCTCTCTTCCAGTGAGGAGGAACTCCACGGAAGGAAAAGGTCCCTGGGCTGAACCAGCCTGTTTCCATTCAGGCTCTCTGTACCTTCTTTCTTCACCACATGGGAGGATCTGTGAGTTCTGCAGGCTTCCTCTGAAGTATTCAGCTGGTTCATGTACAGCATGACTATGGCAGAGCTAACGTCGTTAAGAGTTATCCGACAATCTGAAATCTTGTCAAGTCCCGTTTCGTTCTTCAAGGTTTTCAGATCTGAACCACCTCCATTTTGCATATACCGGCCCCAGGTTCTCTGATTCTAGAATAAATATTTTGGATTTTTGTAGTCAGACTGTGTTCAAAGTCAAATCAGCTGGTTACCAAATCTGACTGACGGTGCTCTGGCTCTCGTGGAGAGACCCGTCTGCCGTGAGCATCTTCAGACCATTCAGCACCGGGAAATGCTCAAGATTATCTCTTGGAGATTCAGAAGTTGCTCTTTGTTTCATTGCATTTACTGTGGCTTGCTTTATCTTCATTCCGATCCCCTTACTTAAAATCTACTTCCATAGGCATCTTGCTTATGGGTTGAGTTACATCCTTGCTTATTTTCTTACAACGGCCCTTCTTTGTCCTGTTTTCCTGTCTAAAATGGAGTCATGGGATAAAACACACGACTCTGTGTAGTAAAATAGAGGGGGGTTAGAAGGCTGGATTTGGAGTCAAGTGATTTAGTTCAAATCCTGGCTCTCCTAGTTGTGTGACTTTCTATGAGTTTTTCTTTTTCTTTCCTTTCTCGCTTTCTCTCTCCCTTTTTCTTTTGACCTCCTTGAGTTTCAGCTTCTCATTTCTAGAATGGAGCAAAGGGTACTAAGACCTAGTTCACAGGGACAAAGGAAACAATACCTATAAAGCTTCAAGCACCTTGCCTCGCACAGGGTGCGCACCCATTTTCAGCTTTCTCCAGACACTGGATCTTAGACTGGATTTCTTCATCTGTTAACCTCACACAAGTGAAGGAGAGTATGGTCTCTATCTGCTCTTCATGACAGAAGAGTCCTTTCAAATGTGAGCTCCAGGGACGAGATGTCCATAGAGCCCTCTGCACTTGTGTGCCTTCCCGTAAGGACTCAGATACGTGAGGCCATTTACCACAGTCCACGGGGCAGCAGTCAGCTTGCCTAATGCCCTTCCCCTTCTTGAGAGCTCTATGAAGTGATTGTGTATCCGCTCGAGATGGTGACTTCCTGCGCAGGTCTTAGCTTTACTGATTTATGCCCTTCCCATGCGTGATGGCAAAGACCTTGCACAGGCCTCTCTTAACTGCTGGAAGGGTTCGTGGTGCGCTGCCTCTTCACCCGTGCTCAAGCTCAAACAGCACACACGGATCGTTTGCTTTTCTGCCACAGTCCCAAGGACTCCCGAAGTGTATGTGCTCACCCGGCGGAGGTTAGAGGTCCCTCCTTCATGAAGATAATAACATTACTTTTTAAAACTCAACTATTAGTTTGGGTATTTTAATCTTAAAGATTTGGAATTTTACATTTCAATTTGAAATATCTAGAGTTCTAAAAATGTTGCATTTTAAATGAACAACTTTATTATTAAAAGAAATCCTTTTGTTCTTCCAGCTGTTTCTCCCCTTCCCCCATTAATAAAAAACTTGCTGAGGGTCTCTGATGGCCAAGACGCTTCAAAAGGTACACAGCTGTCTTCCAATATAGCAGCTCAAATCCACTCCAGTTGAAACTCATTTAACCTGAAAAGCAACAACTCACTGCCATGCCTTCCCTCTTTCAAATCCCACTGACTGTTTCTTCTTTACATGAACTTAACTCTAGTGTCACCCTGCTGGGCTAGAACAAAGTTTTACAGAGGATCCACATTTCCACAGATGATCCTTATATGCAATTATTTAACCTACATTACTATTTCAATCCATTCTCATATCTAAGTTAACAACAGTGACCCAGTAATTACTGAGTTCAATAACCCAATGGGTCAGCAGCCTTTGTGAGCCTCTATGAGAGTTATGATGAACAAAATTACTCTCTTGCTTATACAGTTGACCCTTGAGCAATGCCAAGGTTAGGAGCATTGACCCACTGTGCAGTGGAAAAGCCACATACAACTTTTGACTCCCCCCAAAACTTAATTATCAATACCCTACAGTTGAACCGGAAGCCTTACTGATAAACATGAACAGTTGAATAACACATATTTTGTATGTTATATGTATTACATACTATATTCTTAAAAGAAAGTAAGTTAGAGAAATGTAATTAAGAAAATCCTAAGGAAGAGAAAATATATTTATAGTACTGCAGTGTATTTATGAAAAAAAAATAAAAAGTGTATGAGTGGACCCACCAGTTCAAACCCAAGTTGTTCAAGGGTCAACTGTATTATAAGTGAAGATAATTTCTAATATTTATCCTCAAAGGTGTGCCCACTTCTACAGAGAAAGGAAACGGGATCTGTTATTAAAAGCAGATGCAATTTACTTATTTTCCTCTAAACACCTTTTCCCTCATGCCTTATGGAAAAACCCAACTCGAAAGCACAGTTGGAAAATTTAGTTCTATTTTTTAGTGCCATCTTTGGCAAAAAAAAAAAAAAAAAAAAAGGCGGGGTAAGGGTGGAGAAGGCACAGTAGATATAGAAAGGATTATAGACTGGCTGTGATCTCTCAAAGTATTTTGCCAATACAATTAGGCAAAGAATTTAATCCTTATTTTGGCAACAGGGGGAAAGGGAGCTTCAGGAAGAACCTTCTATTGCATGTGGTTGTCCTCGCTCACTCTCTCATCGAGGGGTCCCCTGTGACTTACATTTATTTCCCCAGCACGTTCATGTACCCACTTTTGATTTCAAAAAGGTTTTTTATTTTTCTCAAAAAAAAAAATCAACAAGGAGAAGTCTCACTGAAGACAAGTAGTTTGTTTCAAGAGAAAAAATGGCATTTGATACCTTACAGTAGTTGCTTGAAAATACATGTCTCTGTTTTCTGCATGAAATCTTTTTTTAAAAGTCCTCTACCTTACAGCTGAGCTTTCCCTCTATGCCTTGACTTGGTCCATCTGTCCTCCCATTCAGAAGGCACAGTCACAAAGTGAGAATTACACTGAAGATATTTTTTATGCTTCCACATAGCGCTCATCCTTCTTCAGATACTATTAAAACACTTACCAGAGCTCTGCCTGGTGAATAAGCAGAGAAAGAACATTTTCCATTTATTTTCATTATGGGTCACCATGCACATGAGGTCCCTTCTTGGCCAGAGAGCACTCTGTTGCCCCCGCCCTCCCCCCTCTCAGCAGGAGCAGGGGTGTGACAACTACCCATCTAATTTGCATTCCTCCAAAGCCACGCTCTACAAAGGGAGAGAAACTACAAGCAACTGGCAACCAGATGGGAAAGAGCTGATGAACCCCCAGGGGACAACTGCCCATATAAGGCGATTGGCACCTTATAGGAAGTGCTGCTGGGATTGACAGTACCTGCCTTGGGTTTTTGTTGAAGTTCACCAGACAAGGTGGTGATAATAGCTGCAGAAGAAGGAATACTTTTACAATCTGCACACATCCCATGTTCACTGCTAAGCCAAGAAAGGGTGAAATTAACTCCTTTGGAGCAAGGGGTTTTATGTTTCAGAGGAAGCAGGAGGGGCTCACTGGCACACCGTCCCTTCTCTGGAGAGTTTCACAAATGCCATTGGCCTTTACCATGGCTAAGAGCCTCAATGTCTTTCCAGTATAAATATTAACCCCTATACATCCTGATGAATGATAAAAACACACCAAAAAGAATAAAATATTCAAATAAAGTGAAAGCCTAGAATAAACCGTATGTATTGTAGTGGTGTTAATAAAACAATAACATTATCTCCTTGTACGAGACATATATAAAACCTCTAATTAGCTCCTAAAAAATATACACACGGTATATGTTTGGCATATTATAGCTTTGCAAATGCATACATTATAAAAGTGAATGTTAGTTTCAAAAGAAAAAAAATCTCATGCCCATTTTGTATGGCAGTCCATTCATGCTTTAGCCTCCAAAGGCACATTAGAGAAGCTCCTTTTTAGAATATAGCAAGTGATCCACTGTGGATTATAATAAACTTGGTCCTGGGAATATCATCTGCTTTGTCTATGATGAATTATAGCAGAAATTACAAATGTTCAGTGCTGAGTTTTACCTCCAGACAAAATTCACTATTCATATAAAACTTTTCCAAGTAGAACTGAATATGTTTTTCTTAGATAATTCTACTTCATCATTTTTTTTTACCTGTATCTCAGCCTGAGGAAAAAAGGAGCAAACTGCAGAATATAAATAATAAAATGACTTTCCTCCTATCAATTTCCTCCGTGACAAAACCAGGGCTTACTTCTGGGGCACAGAGGGCTGAATGTTCCTGCAAAGAGTACAGTTGGTTTACCTAATAACTAAAAGGGTTTGATATTGCCTGGTGAAATGAGCGGCTGGTGCAAGGCATCTAAAATATCAACATATCTGTGTGACTTGAGAATTGCCTTGGCGTTTCCAGGCTTCTTAAAAGTTCTGGTGAGCTGTTCCTCAATGGCCAATGGGTGAAGGGAGACCTTGTCAAATGGCCTGTTTCTCTGCCAGGTCCCAAGCTGTTTACAACTTTCTGTGATGGAGCTGAAGCTGACTTCATTGATATCTACGGCTGGATAATGGGAATCAGATGTCCCTTCTGAACGAGGATAGGAAGAGAGTGGTTATTAAAAAAAGAGCTCTCTCTCCTCTAACCCACCACTACATAGCTAAGAGGCTCCCCATCTTTTAAAACTTAAGGGTCTGGACCAAACCAAAGAATCTCACACCTGATGACAGTATTTTTGTTCAAGTCATGAAAATGCATCTGTTGGCTACAGCCTCAGGCTAACAAGAGAGAATACTATTTGAGTTATAAAGTATATTTTTGGAAAAAGGACCCCAAAATTATGAAAAAGCAACTTCTTGCCAAATAGGGGTCCTAATCCTGAGCAACACTCATTTGCAGTGGGGACCATCTTCGGCTGTTCCACTGGATTCATGAGACTATAACTTCACTGCATGTGAAAACTCCGTCACTGGAGCTGAATGAGCTTTAGGACAGAATGAAGATCATAATGACAAATACAAGTTGGGAGTGTAACCCAGTATCATGGACCAACACAACGCCCCCAAGGCCTGGAATCAGCAATTAGGTCTTGCTGCTGATACCTGGGGAGCGCCGTGGGCTGACCTCGTTCTATAGATGAAGAAACTTAGGGGGCTGACGTCTAAATGTATATACCTCTAACTCTCTTCCAAACCATTTAAAGAAAGAAGGTAAAGTTTTAATGAAAGTACACTCAGCAACTGTCGTCAGCCTTGGCGCTGTCCTGGCAGGTACAGACAAAAGGTGTACGCACAGAGCCCAGACTGAAGTGTTATGTTGTAATCTTGAATTGTGGGCAGGGCTTAAAAAATGGGTTTTCTCTGGGCCAAGACAGGACTGTGAAAAGTTATTATAATTTAACAGGCTTCAACTGATTCTCAGAAACCCCTGAAGAAGGTCAAGTATGCTCCCGGAGCACAATCTCCTGCTTCCTTGCTCCTCTGGAGAGCTGGCTGAGTCCTCTCCTGGCTTCTGGACAGTCCTACAGGTTATGCTGCTCTCTTTCTCAAACACATCAGACTTAGCCAGTATGCAGTGCTCCCTTCCTGTCTTCCTAAGCTCCCCTGTGGTGCAGTGGAAAGAGCACGAGTTACGAACTCAGCAACCTGGCTTTCAATCTTCACTCCTCCGCTTACCGGTGGGCTAACTCTGGGGAAATTACTTAACTGTGGTGGGTCTCAGTCTCTCCACCTGTAAAATGGGGGCAAGGACCTCACAGGGATTCTTAGGGGGAGCACGTGACAGTATATTTAAATCCCCTGGCCTCTGCAAAGTAGGTGCCTGGTCCCTCTCATTTCCTTTCTCACTTCACTATTGCTTTCTTGAGCCGAACTACTCCCTCCCCAAGCACTGGGCTCCCCTGGCTCCGTGCTGCTCCGCGCCAGCCCCACCCCTTTCTCATCATCTAGGCAAGGGCTCATCTCAACCAACCTCCACAATTCAACTCAAAGGCCACTTTCCCCGGGAAGTGCCCCTTCAGATCCTTTCTCTCACGTGATGTTCCCAGATCTATGAAATGTTTCTACACCATTTTATAAATTATTTATCCATCTTCCCTGCTAGTCTAGGTCTAGGGCATCCAGCCTAGCACTCACTGTACCTGGGTGCCCGGCAATATTTGTTTAATGAACAAATGTGTAAATACAGGACCAAAAGGGGAGCTTCTAATGTGCTCACTTGAATGATGGTAATGCTTTAGCCAGTACTCTAAATGAAAACAATACTCAGAAAACAGCCAGAATCAGAATGTGAGATGCACTCTGTGGGGTGAGAAAAAGCATCTGCCTCTGCAGGAGCCAGAGAAGTTATGTGGGAAAAGCAGCACAGAGAGGACAAGCGACAGAAGCCTGGGGCCAGGACAGCGGCTGGAAGCCTCAGCCTAGACACAGCGCCAACCTGCAGAGACGGAGACCGTCCTGTGCGTCGAACCAGACTTTTGGGATAAAAGAAATCAGATGAAGAACGATACGTATTTGGCAGCTGCCATAAAACATGAAAAAAGGGAAGAATGAACAAAGAAATATCTTCAGTTTAGAAACACTATACAAAAAAACAAAACAAAACAAAACCTTTGGGAAAACGAATTTGATAGTAACTGTCAAGGGGCATCGCTTTAAAGTTGATGTGTGTGCGCGCGCGTGCGCGTGTGTTTGAGGGCCCATGTGTAAAAGCATATTTACTGGTCTTCAAGTTACAGTTTATTTACCTACATTCTAACCCCCCATGATTCCCTTCCATTTATTTCAGCTCAGACACTTTTATATATGAAGAGTAAGAAGCCAGTGAAGCCACTGAGAGATGTCCTTAAGAATCTATCATTATAAATGGCCTGTGAGTTCTTAAATACCAAGAATGTGGATTACTCAGTGGGGTTGCAGAAAGATTCTTAAAACATTTTCATTTTGCTATGGTAACCGCACTGATGTGATACCCCGTGAAAGGCTTGGAAATCTTGGCTCAATGTCTGTGCTCTGTAGACACACCCTTGAGAGAGAACAACATTTATTCCCTTATTCAAAAACCGATTCCCCTTTAAACCCCACCAACATCAGCATATATCCCACGCAGGGCACACTGGAACCTCTTCCCCTCTGGCGTGCATCCTACGCACGATTGGGCTTCCCAAAGGTGAGCAAGCTTAGGGTTGGCCTGACCTCCCAAGTGGTTGAATGTTCACTGTAGAAGAAAAGTTTTGGAATTTTCTGGAAAACTTTACTAAAGGAAGAAAAACTAACAGCTCTTCTTGGCCAGAAAGAGTAGAAGTATTTCACTAGTTGTTTTCACAAGTTTATCCAGAGAGTTCTATCAAGATGCAATCAAGAGTGGTTTTTTTCTTTCTTTTTTAAATATCATTTTAGACACACTATCTGCAAACTCAAGCAATCCTTACAGAGAAAAGACACACATTCCATGCAGTCTGGTCTCATTGGCATTCTTCCCCTCATCTCCCAAAAGACTTCATCAGGGATGAAGTGAAAATGATTATTCAAAAAACTGAAAGCAACACTATAGAGATAGTATAAACCACTAGCTACTTGGGTGGTTTCTGGGCAGCATCCCCAAGCTATGCTATGAATTTTACATTCTTATGATAAAAGTGACAATAACTACTATCTTTAATGTTCTATGATTTTATAAAGATAACCCATTTCCAAAGCATCCATAGTTCCTCAAAAATCTCAGACTCTGGTGTGCAACATGGGTGACTGTTCCAGTGTGCACCTGCCTGGTGGATGGACTTGAGGGTTATACACACATGCTCAAGCCAAAGCTGTTATTCTGAAATAGAGACCAAAACCATCCTGATATTGGTGGACAAAGTCCTTTTCAGTTTGTCTTATTTTTACTCCATTATTCTGAGAAATAGAAATAGGTTTCTTTTTTTTCTTTCCCATAAAAGTATGATGCCAATGGGGTTACAATGCATAGCTGCTTACACCTACTAATGGCAGTTTAGGAAGATCTGATATCACACTCTAGAGTCTGGCTTCCAAAATAAATTCAGGCCATTTTCATTCTTTTCCCTGAGATGCCAAGTGGAATACAGTCAAACTACAGTTTTTCCAAGGATACCACTAAGTCAGCTAACCCGAGAGACTGGGGTCCTGTGGACTGGGATCTGGTGTGATTATTGCTCCGAAAATATTTCACAGTCCAAGGGAAAAACTAGGGCCATCTGAATAGGGTACAGATGATGATACTGACTTACAAGCGTGTACAGCTCTTTGCTTCTGAAACACATAAAATAGTGTCATCTGGAGGTGTTGTCAGGGCTGAGTAAGACCAGGAGAAGGTTTTAGAAGTGAGAGGTGAAGAGGGTCTATCCTTTTACCCAAATGCTTAATGTTCAAGGACAGTTACTGCAACATTTTGATGTCACCTAAGAGTTAAGTTACCAGGATGCTTATTCACATTGACACTTCTGGGCTCATCATTGTTCTCCCTAAAGGTTTTATCTGACAAACCATCAGCTTCTGGAGACAGAGGCTACTCGGTGAATTTGGATTTAAGAGGACAGTAAAATGTACCATGGATGCAAAGTTCGGGTCGGGGTGGTACATTATGGACTAAGTACAAAAACGTCTGGTGAGGTCACCAGATGTTGGACCTAGAACTTGATGAATCATTTTTTCCCATCTGTGTGGTTTGTTCCCTTGAACGCTTTCCTACGAACCTGACTAGTGAGGCAAGGCTTACTTTCTCCAACACAAGCACTGGAAACAAAAACCACAATCAGTTTAACATGATTAACATAACATTAACATGATTAACATAACAAGAAGGAACCTCCTTCCCTGGCCAAATGGGCTTTCAACTTGATCTGCTCTTAAGAAAAAAAAAGTCATGAAAAAGTCATTTCCCCAAAACTCCAGCCCTGAAAATTAGTGGCCATGGCACAGACAGCCAGCACATGCACCTGGCATCACAGCTCTGTTTCCTTACCCGCAGCTTTTCCTCAGTCTTGGTAGACTGCTTACAGTCGGGATGCCAAACGGTGGAACCTGGAAAGACACAATGCCCGCAAAGAGTTAAAGGAAATGGAAAGAAGCCAGAACTTCTGAGAACAGTTCATATCCTTCTCTCTCTATGGGGGGGCGGGGGGGGGGTGGCGGACGGAGTGTTAGAGCCGAAGTGAATTATGGGTCCAAGTGAATTATGACAACTCTAATCTCCAGGTGAGTTTTCCTCATTCAGTCTGAGCTTGCTCTAGAAAGGTCATAATTCCAGACCACAGACACCACTAATGGGCGCAAGAGTGTTGTGACGCAACAGATGTTTAGTTCTTGACTGAGTGTTGTTGCTGTTGTTTTGGACCACATTATTATCCTTTAAAAGTCATGTCTGTGTGCTTACTACAGGCTGTATTTGATTTAAATAGAAGGCATAAACCATGTTTACAGAACATCAAAACAACCAAGCAGTTTAGATAAGGGAAAGAGAGTCAAACCCAATAGTCTATATCCAGAAGCAAAACTCACTGAATTTTTTGTTGATCCAATTACACACAGTCATCTACAAAGATAATGGAAAATCAAGCCAACTAGAAGAAAGGTCGAAAGTTATGTTACAAATGCAGAAGTTTTCTTTAACTGTTAACCTTTTAATTAACAACAACAACAAAAGTCTCCCCTCTCAAATGAGTGAAATTACTGCTTAAGTGTCATTTTCTGTCCCTGAGTCAATGCCTCACCTTCTCTAAATATGAAGCCCTTCCCTGGAATGATGCCCATATCACAGAACTAAGCAAAACATTTAAATCTCACAGAAAGCTCTTGTAAGAATCCAAGCCCACTGATACGATTTTGTATGCCTAGATATATATGTCATTTATACAGTTGTGGGTCAGACCTGTATGTAAGTCCTATGTTCACATAAGGATACGTTCAAATATGGTTATGGGCAGAAGAACCGAAGGAGCACTAGATAAGACTTGAGCAAATAAAGTTACTAAGTTGAAAGCAGCGAGTAAATGATATAAATTTAGTAAGTCTCGGTATGAATATCAGACTTCCCACACATCATTGTTAAATCTTTATCTCTTCAAGCAACCATCTGTGTGTACTTAAAAAGTCACCAAATTAAAGTAACTCTTGAATTATTTTATACTACTGAGCTAAAATAATATTCATGACAAGGATAATACCTTTTATATCAGAATAATACTTTAATCCCTATTTAACAATCATTCCTATCTTGCTTAACCCAGAGCCAAAAAAAGAAAAAAAAAAAGGAAAATGAAACAAACAAACCAGACAGACACATAGTCTTTTCAGCGTTAGCATTTACTCTGAGGCTGGCTACAAAGCACAGGAAATCCTCTTAATGTGGAGAGCCAAGGGTCAGGGGTGGGCCCATGAGCAGCATTCGCTGTGAAAGCTCGAGTGGGAGCCCTTGGCCAGATCACTGGGTTTGCACACAGTGCACACTGTTCTCCAGAGGTCAGACACACAGGACTGCGACTCGGGGAGAGTATCAGATGCTGAGGAAGATGAACCACTCATTCTTCAAGGAAGTGTCGAGAGGGCAGGAAAAGAGCGCAAAGGCCCAACTCCAGAAGACATTTACAACAATCCCTGGAATTCTGAGGATAGCCCGTTTTAACTGATAGTTGTTTATTTGTAGTAGGACTGTGCTGTTATTTGCGCACAGCTTGAAATCACTCTCTATTCAGGTTCCAGAACCATGTGAACGTGCAGAGCAGCACCCAGAGCCTTTGAGTCTCAGTTCCTAGCAGACACGGTGTTGACACGCGCTCTTGTGTCTGGTTTTGAGTGCTATGATAGACACACTAAAATCTAAAACAAAGCCTGGAGACCAAATAGAGAATAAACTGGCTCCAGGCTGAAAATGCAAAGTGACACCTGCCTATGGCTACGGAGATTCACAGCCTGCCCTCGGAGAAATGTGTCATATAAAGTCCACATGAGACCACGGGTTTGGGGGCCTGTCATTTGCCTTTATTGGGCCCTTTAAAATTCAGCGACTGGGCGCCTGGGTGGCTCAGATGGTTGGGCATCTGCCTTCAGCTCGGGTCGTGATCCCAGGGTCCTGGGATCCAGTCCCACATCGGGCTCCCTGCTAGGCGGGGAGACTGCTTCTCCCTCTGCCTCTCTCTCTCTTTCATGAATAAATAAGTAAAATAATTAAAAAAAAAAAAGAAATTCAGCAACTTTTTTCATCAGAATTTTCCAGAGTGATCATGAAAACTAAGGGATATTTGGGTTGTCATTTTCTCATATAGCTAGCATTTTTCAGAGAAGAGTAGATAAGGCTTTGCTTTAATATTCAAGAATCACTTCCATAGACTTTTCTTCATTGTATAAAAACAAAACAGAAAGCAAAGCAAACCATTCGTTAAAATACACGTAGTGTTAAGTGCAGAGAGACAAAGAAATGAATGCAAAGGCAGATGAGACCTGGTAATTACCAAACTGAATGAGCACCAGCTCCGTGGTTCTCTCTAATTTTACTGATAAGCCTTGTCGATTTAATGACACTTTCTCCAGCTAAAAATAGTAAAATGTTTGTGCAGATGGTGCTGTTTGGAAGAGACTCCTCCCCTAAGCTTCTTGCTGAGAAATTTCAGCATTTTAGGGGAGATAAAAACTAGTCATGGTTACACACTGAGAAAATTTCTCAAAATGATTTTCCATTAGAAAAAAATCTGGGGGCACCTGAGTGGCTCAGTTGGTTAAGCATCCAGCTCTTGATTTCGGCTTAGGTCATGACCTCAGCATTGTGAGATTGAGCCCCCAGTTGGGCATGGAGCCTGCTTAAGATTCTCTCCCTCTGCCCCTCCCCCCTACCCCCAAAAATCTGATGGCCCTCTGGTAATGAATACTTCTTTGCCACCAGAAACTTCTCCATTTCTCTTTCAGCGACTCTGGGTATGTTCTCACTCTCTCGCTGCCTCTCTTTCTTTCAATATGAGAGCTACATCATCTTAATGAGATGAAATACATCTATGATGCAATTCACCAACTATGAGATTTCTTCCTGAAAGCCTGCATAAGAGCAGGTTGGAGGCATCAAAAAATCCTTCCTGCAGGATAGTGATAGGAGCAAAGACAAAGTAGCATCTAGAAATGCTTTTTCTCTTTTGTCTTGTTTCCCAGACCTCCTGGGGAAGGTTGGGAGGACGTGTTGCTAATTTTCACTCTTGCCTCACCTCCATAGGACCAAACATCAAATCCTATTCGTTCATTCCAGAAGCAACACATTCCTTTGTTAAACACACTCAGGGGCTCACTGCCGGCATGTCAACTGCTTGGCTGATTAATACTAACTGATGAGGTAACTTCCGGCCACATTCATTTTGGATCTGGGAAGCCTTGTAGCTAATGAAGTGCCTCCTTCTCTGAAAACAAACAAACAAAGCAAGGTTTTCTTTCCCCAGGCAGAAAGAACTTACTGAATTCAGTCCATCTTACCTTGAAGATACATTTCCTCTCCTTCTGTGAACATCTGATTGCATCTGCTGCATCGTGCACAGCTGGGGTGGTAATGTTTGTCACCTGCCTGCAAGAGAAGAGGTAGGGACTATTTAGTTTACACCTTGTCACAGCTCCCAGCCTCTTTTCTGGACATGGGGATTCGGAGGCAAAGAGAAACAGCCGAGGCAGGAAAAATAATTGTCCAATTGACCTAACCTCTTATACCAACAGCCCTGGAAGCAGAAGCTGTCCCCATTAGAACTGGAAGGGGCTCAAAGACTAGCTACTGATGCCTGGATGATAGGGCAGCCTTGCTTCTCAGGGTTTCTGGCATCCACCTTTCTCTTGGCCTGGTCGCTCTTGGATGGTTGCTAGTTACACACCATGTGCCTGAGATGAGTCCACTCCATCTCCAAAAAACCCCACCCCCAAAACATTAACATCCAAATTGATGTGGAGACACATACTGGTTTGTACTAAAGTATTAAAAGAAAGGATTCTCATATTTAGCAGGTTCTTATTTTCTTAAACTGTCTAAAAATAATAAAATCTATCTAGCTTACATCAAGACGGGAAAAGCCATAATAAAGGACATAATCCACAGCTTTCACCTTAGGAGGACCCCAAATTCTCTTCTATGTTGCTTATAACAGTCTTTTTTGCCAAAGTCTTATATTGTTTCCTGAAGAAGGCATTTTACTGAGGTGGCCTTGCATTATTCATGAGCAGTTCACATTCCTAAATATGACAGATGCCATCACAGCAGGTGTTGACTTCCCCTAAGCAAAACGTCACTGGACACAGGGACAATTCTCTAGACAGGTGCCAAGTCACATTAGAGTCATGCTCCAAATGTATGCCTGACAAAATGAAATCTTGTTTAGAGCTTAGCAAAAAATCTTCACCACCTAAAAATTATCAAATATACTCTGCAATGAAATCATTTTATTAACCAAGTGTGAAATAGTTCTTTTGCATGAACCACATGCAAGGCAGTGCTGAGAGCCAAGTTAGAAGTAGCTGCCCCCTGTGCTTGTGTGAAATCTCAACAGGAAATCAGAGGTCAGGTAGTGATTCCTTTCTCACACCCTCCAGTAGAAACTACAAAAGCCACTTAGCAACCAGAGTATGAGATGGTGGTTGGTTACTCAAGACAATCAAGTGGAAAAAGATTTATTTCAAAATAGAAGCCAGGAATGAAATCTGTTCAATGGTGCCAATCAGAAAATTCTAGAAGTGGTGCTCTTGTTTTGGTTCACACACTATTATTTAATTATTTTTTTTCCAGGGGATGAAGGAAGCATAGGAAATGTCACACAAAGTAGCTCCTTCCCTTAGGCCATCCAGGGTCAAATGTGAGTGAAAGGAGAAAGAAAAAAGTCACAATAAGTTCTAAACCACTGTAGTTCAGCTGGGATGCTAATGCTGAGAGTTCCCAGCCAGGTAGGACAATCTCTGGGTTCTCAAGGAAAATGTAAGTGAAAGAATTAAGGCACCTTGACAGGAAGTTTGTGTAGTCTACAGCGAAAAGCACACTCCTCAGTAAACTGGGAGTAGGAAGACAGATCTTCAAACTGATACAGTATATCTGTCATACTTAGTGGTGCAATATTAGGCACATTCTCAACAAACATAGCACCAAGACAATGACTTACACTTTCACCAAGGTTTTTCTACATTGTTTTAGTCCTAGCCAATGTGATAAGGCAAGAAGAAATAAAAATGCAGGTCACTAATGAAAGAGTTCAAATAGCTAGATAAAAAATAAACACAGAAAACCCCATAGCTTTCTTATTGACTAGCAATACAAATTCAGTCAGTGTAATGGGAAAACAGGACTCCATTTCTAATAGCAACAAACAAACCCTTCAATGCAAGATCTACACAAAGAAAACTATAGAATTTAACCGATGGACATAAAAGGCTAACAGACATATTTCTGGATGAGGAAACTAAATATTTAAAGATGTCAATTTATCTAAAATGAACCTATTAATACAACGCATTCTCAGTCACAATACTCATAGGGGTTTCATCTACAGATCTTGACAACCTGATTCTGTAAGTTCATATGGAAGAAAAAAATGCACAAAACAAAACTTTTTTTTTTTTTTTTTTAAAAGAGCATCAACGAAGGGGGATTTTCCATTCTTGACATAAAAAGTTATTCTAAGAGGTGCCTGGATGGCTCAGTCCTTGTATCTGCCTTCGGCTCAGGTCATGATCCCAGGTCCTGGGATCGAGCCCCGCATCAGGCTCCCCGCTCGGCGGGAAGCCTGCTTCTCCCTCTCCCACTCCCCCTGCTTGTGTTCCCTCTCTCACTGTGTCTCTCTGTCAAATAAATAAATAAAATCTTTGGAAGAAAAAAGTTATTCTAAGGCTCAAATAATTAAAGTTGTTCAATACGGGTCCAGGAACAGAAAAGAAATCGGTGAAACAGATAACTCAGAAAAGCCAGTTGCACAGCTATACACAAGATAATTTAGTCTATGATAAAGGCAGCATTTCCAATGAGTTGCACAATGGATTGTTCCACTAATGGTGAGAACAATGGATTCTCCACTTAGAGAGAGGTAAAACTAGATTCTTAATTCTCAACCTACAAAAAAAGAATTCTAGAGAGTTACAGAGCTAAATATAGAAACAAAAATGTAGAAATATTAGATGAATACATAGGAGATAATTTAGTATACTTGAGGGTAGGAATGCTTTCCTAAACAAGGCAAAATCTAGAAACAATAAAGACAAATAATGACTGTGCACACACATAAAAATGTCTAGACGTAAAAAAGTTAAAGGAAGAGTAGCAGAGAAAAAATACTTGCCATGCATGTCATACAAAAGATTATTATCCAGAATATATAAAGAGTATCTCTAATAAAAAATAAGTGGGAACATGTGCAAAAAGCAATTTCCAGAGGACATGTAGAAGACCCCAAAAATAAAGAATTAGCTCAACTCCACCAGGAATCAGGGAAACCCAATTTAGAAAAAAAAAATATTTTTCTTCACCAGACTGGCAAAGATAAAGAGAAGACTAATGTGAGGAAAAAGGCATTCTCACACACCCTTGGTGAGCAAAATTCTTTTTGGAAGGCAGCTTTGGCAATATTTATTCAAATTTAATATGCACATACTCTGATGCATGATACCACTGCTAGAAAGCTATCTTACAGAAACTCTCAAACCTGTGCTTGAGAGTGTATGTATTAAGGATCTTCAACATTATTTATAACAGCAAAGAACAAAACAACAGAAAGCAACCTAAATAACCTAAATAAGAAAGTAGTTGAATAAAATATTGAATCATATGTAGCCATTAAAGGAATGAAATAAACTTACATGGAAAGAGTTTAAAAGAGCCAAGATGTCCATCGACAGATGAATGGATAAAGAAGAAGTGGTATATATATATACAATGGAATATTATGCAGCCATCAAAAGGAATGAGATCTTGCCATTTGCAACGACGTGGATGGAACTGGAGGGTGTTATGCTGAGTGAAATAAGTCAATCAGAGAAAGACAGGTATCACATGACCTCACTGATATGAGGAATTCTTAATCTCAGGAAACAAACTGAGTGTTGTTGGAGTGGTGGGGGGTGGGAGGGATGGGGTGGCTGGGTGATAGACATTGGGGAGGGTATGTGCTATGGTGAGCGCTGTGAATTGTGTAAGACTGTTGAATCACAGATCTGTACTTCTGAAACAAATAACGCAACATATGTTAAGAAAAAAGAAAAAGAAGAAGATAGCAGGTGGGGAAGAATGAAGGGGAGTAAGTCAGAGGGGGAGACGAACCATGAGAGACGATGGACTCTGAAAAACAAACTGAGGGTCTAGAGGGGAGGGGGGTGGGGGGATGGGTTAGCCTGGTGATGGGTATTGAAGAGGGCACGTTCTACGTGGAGCACTGGGTGTTATGCACAAACAATGAATCATGGAACACTATATCACAAACTAATGATGTAATGTATGGTGATTAACATAACAATAAAAAGAGTTTAAACTAATGCTGCCAAGAGAAAAAATCATGCAGAAAAACAATGCCTATAATGTAGTCCCATAAAGTACTAGCTGACAGTGTGGAGACACTGGGGTGAGTCTGACTGGATTCAAATCCAGTTTCAGCATGATGTGGTCTTGTTGGCAGCAGGCTCTCTAAACATACAGCACTCCGCTGCTGCAACTACCTCACAGGATGTGATTACGGTGAGTGATCATATGATATTTTATTTTCAAAGATTTTACTTCTTTATTCATAAGAGACGGGGGGGGGCAGAGGGAGAAGGAGGCTCCCCGCTAAGCAGGGAGCCCGATGTGGGACTCGATCCCAGGACCCTGGGATCATGACCTGAGCCGAAGGCAGACGCTTAACCATCTGAGCCACCCAGGCGCCCCAGTCATATGATATTTTGAAAATGGTGCAGCACACTACTACATATAGTAATAATAATAGAAACAACAACAACAATTAATAGTCATCCTCTGAACAGAGGTGGTCCCAGGGCCATTCACAAAGAGAAGTCTTGTTAGCACCAGTTGGGACGCTGGTAAAAGGCCCCCTCGGTGCCCATTCTTTCCCAAGGACAGGCGCAGGAGAGTAACTGTTACACGAACTCTCATACAAGGCGGATGGAAGATACGCCAAGGCCCCAGGTGGCAGGGCTGTGGTGTATAAACCATTAGCAAAAACACTGCTAAGAAACAATACCAGCATGACGCCAGGGACATCGGTCCTGACCCATGCACTGGCTCATCTCAGAATGCTGAACATGTCAAGTAATTCAGGGAACCAGAATTGAAGTCCATTTCGCAGCCATTCAAAAGTCTGTTTTTGTAGCAGTGCGGGCCTGGGGGACCACACATGGTCAGGGGCTCAAGGACAAGGGAACCTCTGCTTTGCATGTGAGAGCCACCTCCTCTCTTTCATTTCTTCTTACGCTGGTACCCATGACAGTTCACAGTCAAGCCCTATGCACAGGGCCAGGAAAAGGGATCAGAGCTGAACACAGACGTGGGTTCATATGCAAACCAACCCCCAACATGGACATAGCTGATCAAAATCATTTACACTGGAGTCA